TGGATTCTCGTTAAGGACCCTCTATGGATGAGAAATCAGGTGAGAAAAAAAGTTCCGCTCTTAAAACCGCATGAAGGCCCCATATGACTGGACTAAAAAGTAACTTAAAGGTGAGTACCTAATGAAAACTTGTTTTCATAAATGCTAAGAGTCTTCTTTTTGTTGCGATGCAAGTGTATTTTTCATGTGTCTCATATTATTTAAAATTATTTTTATATAATGCAGAACGTTTGTCGCCGCTGCGGGTTTTTGCCTATTTCCTAAAGCAATGTAATTAACTGCTCTACAAACTCTTTTTAGTTACAGGAACTGTTATCAGCACATATATCTGCTGGCATTACAGCCATGACTTTTCCACACATTTTTCTATCGAATGTGCAAGGTTCAATGGAGATATTGGGATTGGGCCCCTCGTATTTTTTTCGGGAAAAATCCGTTATTGTGAGAGCTTTTAGTCTTTAATTTGGGAATTTGAGTAGAATAGCACTCACCTCATACTGATGGAGGGCAAAGAGCGTTAAGATAACGGGCAGAAGTTGCCTCATGTTGAAACTAACAGCACCGGGCGGTGGTGTCAATGAACACTGAACAGGTCGTGGAGTGAGGCAGGCGAGACCATCAATTGTGTATATTTTTTGGGTGCTACACTGTAAAACTCTATCTATCAAAGGCTATCGCAGCGCTGTCGTGACACCACGCTTAACTTCATTTCAAGGTTGCAGAAACGTAAATGTTATAAAGTATCGTGTTGCCGTACTAATATTATATTAGAAGGGGGCTGTGACACCCAACCCCGGCTGGGCGCTTCGCGGGCCCCCGTAAGCTAATCTAAATAGAGCGGGCTAATCTAGAGACTATATTCTATGGATAATCGCAAAAATAATGAAAATCGGCCATGTGGATCTAACGGACGAACTGTGACAAAAAATGAATTTTTACATTGTTTCAGTGTGAGATTTCACCTTTATCACGTTACATGAAAAAATTTAGATGGCATTTCCAAAATCTGAATAAAGTGGGCTCATCTAGGGACTACCGTCGACTACAGCCTTAAAAAAAATGGAAGTCGGGGAAACATAACCATTGTAGTGATCTGCGGCTGAGCAGCCAAATTTAGAGTAGGTACCTAAAGACGGAGAAGTGGAGGCATTTATGCGCTGCGGAATTCGTGGAACAGCGGTGGAATCCATCGCAAAAAATAGGATACTCAGAATTAGAGAGTATTAGGATGCTCCATAGTCGAACTTTCATAGCAATGTTGAGGTGCTGGTTCAAAACCACACCGCTTTTCGATACGATGTTAGCGGCTCCAAAATTAATCACCAATTACTAAACGAGGAGTCGCAGCACGCTCTTCTTTTAGTTACTGTCCTAATCTTATCAATCATCATCGAGTCCTGAAAATTCATGTCAAGCATCCGAGGACCATATACTACAAGCCTGTAGTGAGAAATTTTCCTTTTCAGCACCTTCCAAAATGAACTTATTTCCGCCTAATCCAGATTTCTGGACCATAGTGCGCCGTCTTCGACTGAGTTTCGTGTTAAGGAGAAGCGCCAGCAAGAGCTTTTTTCGACCGACTTAAACAGAAAAACACGCACCAAGTCGTATTTTGGAAGAAAATGGGTTGGTCGCACCTAAACTACCTCCGTTAGAACTGCTCACGACCTGATATATATAAATAGGTTGTCGTGGCCGCGGTCTTGGGCAGGTTTTGGGAGGCGGCGCATAAAGTGTGCGGAGAGGAGAATGAGGTCAGTGCACTGCCGCGAACACACGAAGGGTAGTACGGTTTAGTTTTCCCATTTGCCTACGCGACCGATCGTGATGAAGTTTTTGAACCCTTGGCGCTTGATTTCCGCAATCAACGTTGCGAGAATGTGTCCCACATTCATAGACGAGAGTAATTTGAGACAAGTGAAAAGCTGATTTTCCTTCATTTCTACGTGATACCACAACACCTACTTACTCCAGAGCATGGCTAGATTTACACACAGGACACAGGCCGTTGATGCCGCGCTCGACGGCGCGAGGGCGCATAGGCGTTTGGGGGGGGGGACTAGAATTGAAAATAGTATCATCTGCCCCTCCCCCTAGAAAATCTGGATCGTGGGAACAGACCTCCGTTGAGGATTATTTCCTCCCTAAATGTAAAGTCTAAATTGAAGACACCGTGTTCATGCACTTAGTATTTTCTATAATTTTTATCATGGAAGCCTCTAAATGCATCCAAATAGAACTAAAGTTTCAAAAATTTTCCGGATGTATTCAATACAACAATTCTAAATTATTATGCAGTATTATAATGTACAGACAGAATGACACCCCCCCCCCCCCCC